TGCAGAAAAGTGTTTGAAATTTGCATTTTATTTGGCATCCAACAAGTTGGCATCTATTTGTAAAACTTTCCTTAACTATAACAGGCCAATTTATGAATGAAATGTTCATTTAAATTTTTGTTTCAAAGATTTCAATTAGAGAATATATCTTCTATGGCGTGCGGGCGAAGCCTTCTAGAATATATACATCTCTATCTCTTTCCATCCCTCCCCCTCTCTCTCTCTCTCTCTGTATATATATATATATATATATATATATATATATATGTGTGTGTGTGTGTGTGTGTGTGTGTGTGTGTGTGATTCTCTTTTATTATTTACATTTTTCAGACTGTTGTCCTCATCTTTATTATCATATTCATGACTTTCCGCCCATTGTACACCCCGGCCTTTTACTGGTAATATACATTGGGATTTCCAACTGAGCCCTTTATTTCCTCCAGCGGGGTAGATTGTTCTAATTCCACGTGCCACACCTTTTCTGGATATCTGAGTTTCAGTTATTTCCCTTTAGTATCCCAACGCTCCAAGTTTTTGTTCATCTCTTCTATGGCTAAGTATTGAGCTCACAATCTTTGGGTCACTTGAACCAACCAACGCTTTTATCCACTGTAACTAGACTATTTTACCCCGTGGGATGAAAAAAAGTGTTCAATTCAAAATTCCAACGTATATCACCTGAAGAAGACCGGAGTGTACAATAGCCGAAACGTCGTGAATATGACAATAAAAATGAGGACAACATTCCGAATAAAGTAAATAGTGTAAATAGTTAAAATACCTCATATCTGCAATATAGACATATATCCTATTTTATTGCTTTTTGTTACTTTAAAAATATTTCGCCGTTCCTTTAATAAATTTATAATATCATGCTTGTATATCTTTTTGAATAATATTTCCCTGCAACCATTTTCATCTATATTATTCGTGCTACATTGAAAGCAACATTGAAAGTTTCCTTTTCACTATATCAATATAATTTTTTGCTTGATTTCTGTCGTGTTTTCATTATCTTTTTGATTTCCTTCGCCATGTTTCTGGAATGTAAACTATTTTTGGCATAGCTGCATGGATAAATCGGCATGTGCATGTTTGCCACTTCAAATGCACATGGGTGCAACAGTGTGCATGCAAGCTGTGCATTTCCTTACGACTCTGCAGTTAGGATTATTAGTTCGTATGATCAGCAAAGCGAAGAACCATTTCAATCTTTGAAGTCTATATTCAATAAATACTTGCTGATTTAAGCCAAATTTGACGTTTCGATAAGCGTAAGGAGCGTCTAATATTTGTCAATCTTAATGCAGCGAACTTGCTAACTTGCCTGTCAATCCAATAAAATTTGATGACTGTTCTTGTCATTTAATGAGTAAATATTTCCAAGCCTAGTTTAAGCTGATTTCTGATGATTCCTTGCTGTATACACTTTAAATCCATATGTATAAGTATATAAGTGATAATAGATTTAGATCTAAATGAAAATCCGAATGAATGGTAAATATATTGATACTTTGAAAAACACTCATTTGATATGTTTTCCTAATAAAAGTTAAAATTAGTCAGATATACTTTTAAACAAATGGTTCAATTAGAGTAATAATAAAAAAGAAATTTAGCGTTCATACGATTCAGGTTATTCACGTAATGTCCCTCCAATATAGCTTAATGAGTTTGTTTGTTCACCAACAGATGTGTGCTTATTGCAAAGTGCGTAATACATATATATATATCGAGAGAGAGAGAGAGAGTGAGACATAGATAGATAGATAGATAGATAGATTTATTAAATACGGCAGACAAGGATGATTTAATTATTATTTTTTATTTAGTTATTCTAGGATAAAAACGTTGCTGGAGTAAGGTAGTACAGAAATTCTACATAATTTTCATTGTCCCAATTCGACTAATTCTTTAAATCATTTTCAATGGGACGTTGTATTATTTTTTTTTATTTAAATGGCCAGGTGCTCACGTGACTTCCAGTCCAGCCGCGCTGAACATGCTCGGAATAAATGCTCTTCTTCAAGGCAGCACAAAAATAATATATAACTTGAACATTAAAAATATAGGAAAAATCTTACAACACCAAAATTCACTTGAAAATGGCGAGAGAAATGGTCGAAAGCTCTTTGAACACTGAACATTATGATAGTTTTCCATACTCCCTTACTTCGAGAAAGCGGATAATCATAATGATGCAGGAAAAAAGTTAAATACGTGTTCCTTTTTTGCCGTATTTAATGAAAGATGTTTTAAAGAAAGGTTGCTACATAAATATACATTGATTATATATATATCTATCTCTCTCTCTCTCTCTCTCTCTATATATATATATATATATATATATATATATATAAATTACTCCTTATCTAAGCAACATATATGACTATATAAAAACCTAAAAAAAATTAAATGACAACGGTTAAATTCATAAACTCTTGATATTAAAATAATATATAATGCATAAATTTATCTTGAAATAAGTTAAATATTATTTGCATAAAAACAAACAACAACAATATTATTTACTCACCTTAGTTTATTAGGTATAAATTAATTTCACTTTGTATTTTCTATAATTTACCTCGATTTTAAGTTAACCAGGTGAATATTTATGAGCGTCTCTTGAATTTAAATTTTGAGAAACTAACAATACTTTAACTATCTTATAAATAGATTTTTGCAAAATAAAATTCTTACATTTGCTCTGATAAATTATATTAAAGGACGGAACGCGTCGGCTAAGTTAATCTTTCATTTATATATATATATATATATATATATATATATATATATATATATATATATATATATATATATATATATATATATATATATATATATATATATATATATATATATATATATATATATGTATATATATGTATGTATGCTTGTGTGCATATGTGTGCGTATGTAACTGTGTTTAAAATAATGCTACTACAAATATAAGTTTGTGACAAAGGGTCAACAATATTACGAATATATAAGTAAACACAAATATTGATCAGAAATGTGTGGCTATCTACAATACCTTAATATTAAGTTAATAATCAAAGCTAAGAAATGGTAGAAATGCTTTGAATTAAATAAGTGGAAACAGCCTAATTGACTAAAATATTAATATGATCTGATCACAATATTTAGTCAAGTACGTCTCGGGTGTCATTAAATGGTCAGATCATAAAGATTGAACTATTGTTACTATTTCATCTACCATTAATTGTAATTCGGTTGAATATTAATTGCTTATTGAAAACGGATCTTGTAAAATAATCGGCAAAATAATCTTATTTAAATTAGTAGTTGTTGTTCTTAAGTTATGCTTGAATTTCTTCTTCGCCATCGTAATTATCTGCACTCTACCTGATTTATCAATTTCATTTATTCAACTCTTTTATTTGATGCATTGTCTTCCTCCAATTCCTGCATGTTTAACTGTAGTGCAGCCAATGCCGATTTACTACAGTCGTAATCATTTTGAATTCGAAAATTATAATATTAGAAAAAAAAAACTTTTAAAATCTTCGCTTCATTCTGAATAAAGAAACAATTTTCAAAAGAAATAATGCTTCTCTTTGAAAGTAAGCTTTACTTTGTCTCCAAAGTGTCCAACCTTGCATAAGATCTGATAGTCATTCGTCTATAGTTTTATGTACATAACTTATTTATTTGAAATAGTTTTCTGATACTGTCTTAGACTTTGCAACCTCCTGTCATAGTCAGTTTCTGACATTTGATTTCCAGTATATTCCAAACAGGAATAATTCTTCATTTTATTTATTTCTCCATTTTTATGCTTCCATGAATCACTACGCCTTTCCGGAATTCACGACAGAAATCTCTAAAACCAACTATGTAAATTCTTAACTGATACAATGAATTTAAAAATCATATGAAACAATAATAAAATCGGTGAGAATAAATTTGGTAAGGAATATTTTTATTTATCATTTCTCGCCTTGTAGCTGATATTGTTACACATTTTCTCCCGATACGAGTGGTTGATATTGAAATCCGAGTAAAAGAAAATAGTTTATTTTTCGAATATTTATATTTAATACGAGAAGGTTGATTTGTCTGAATAACCGGCGCAGAACAATCTTCCCATCTCTATTCCCCTACTTTTTATATTATACTAAAGTTACCGATAATTCCCTTTTTTGTTGTTTATTTTTTAGTTTACCTCAGCGTGTAAGTCATTTTAATGGTAAATAATTTTGCTATATAGCATATTGACTACATGAATTGAAAATTCATGTAAAAATTGAAACACGTGAAAACGTGAAATTGAAAACTTATGTACTTAAAACTCGTTTTGATCTATACGCAGATCAGTCTTATTATACATATAATTTTTTTTAGTAAATGCTTCTTTTTCTTTTTTGTGCCATGTCCCTTCAAAACGTGGGTAATAAGGACTCTCCACAGCTTCCTATCCTTTATGGTCTTTATTAATGTTACCCCTTTTGCCTAACCTCCTGTTCTTTGTTTCGACAACCAATCACCCAAACTTATCAGGTTAGTGGTTCCCTGCCCTCTTGAATCTCTCCAAACATATATGACCAGTGAGGAAAACGGTCTGTAAATCCTTCTTCGTTATGTGCCAAAGAAACTTAAGCCGTCATTTTCTGGTCCTGGGCGTAATTGCTCTTTTTGCTACCATTTTATTTAAGACTTCCTGGTCACTTACTCGCTCCTTTCAAAAAATTCTCAGCAACCTTCTGCTGACTCCTGTTACGTCTGTAAAAAGATTGTCCGTCATTCGCTGCCATACAAGACTATTGATATCACATAGCGATTCCGAACTTTTTTCCCCCAATGAAAATTCATGCTTTGTTTCTAATAGCATTTTCTGTTTAGCTTTTGTGATTTATATTTCGATAATTTAATACGCATTCGGATTTCAGTGCCGTATTTTCTATTCTCTGTTAAAACAATAAGATATATAAACTTTTCTACTTGTTTGATCTGAAGCGTTTACATTTTTCTTTATTATGCAAACATTTTCTTCCTCTTTAAAAAATATATCTTCTTCTTTTTCTTCTTCTACTCTCCTCCTTCTCCCTTCATCCCCTCCTCTTTCTTCTTCTTCTCTTCCTTCTCCTCCTTCTCTCCTCCTCACCATTCTCTCCTTCTCCTCCTCCTTCTTCTTCTTCTTCTTCTTCTTCTTCTTCTTCTTCTTCTTCTTCTTCTTCTTCTTCTTCTTTCCTTCTCCTCCTCCATCTTATCTCCTACTTTTTCTTCCCCCTCATCTTTCTTCTTTTCTCATCCTCCTTATTCTTCTTTTACTCCTACTTTCCTCCTCCTCCTCCTCCTCCTTCTTCTTCTTCTTCTTCTCTGCCTTCTACCTTTCCTTTTTCTCTCCTCTTCCTACCATCCCCTTCTTCTCCCCCTCCTTCTTCTTCTTCTTCTTCTTCTTCTTTTGCTTCTCTTCCTCCTCATCCTCCTCATGCATCATCTTCTACTCCTCCTTCTCCCACCCCTTCTTCTACTGCTCTTTCTCCTCCTCCCCGTTCTTTCCGTTGCTAGTCTCCTACTGTTCTATTGCTATTTTCATGGCAGATCTTCAAGCGAAATGCATTCCAGGGTTTCGCCAGTCGAAACCTTTCACATCTAGGACCTGCTAAGCCAATAACTTGTGCTCATTCCCTTCATATTCATTTGATAACGAGTAATGCTAAGCATACTATGAGCCGAACATCTGAGCAACGACGAGGTTTTGGAAAATTTGGAAACAAAGTGCAAACATATACTTAATATCTGGAAAAGGCAGCTGAAAGTTCTGGGAAACATAATGATGAAATTGAGCTCGGAAATCTGAAACACACATGACGGATAGAGCGAAAGAAGGACATCGGAAAAAAAAAGGTGACATAGTTATTAGGCTTGAGTAAGTGGATGGCAGAGCTACAAGGTACAGGAGGAGGTGGAGGGCCCTGATCGCCTACGTTCTGAAAGGACACGGTACATGAAAGAAGCAGAAGTTCAACTAAGAAGGATTCTTTCCTAGAACGTTTGCAACAAGAAGGACTATCGAGGTGATACCGCACGATCTTACCCTCTTCTGGTCAAGAATCAACCGGCACATATGCGGCATAAACACAGGATCTGCAAAAATTGCTCTCATATACGCCATCGCAGCATCCTCATCCAGCAATGCTATACCGTGAGTGTCACTTAAACTTTGTATTAGTTGAACAATAATAGGGAAAAAAGCTCTTGAAAAGAGATGACACAGAAGAATGAAGAAATATATTTCAAGGATGTACAGAATACTGATCCAATCATTACTCTCTTTGTTTAATGTTAGCGTGGAAATTTATCCATATTAAAAGCTTTAAATCAGAAAAAAATCATCTAAATTATTAGTTATAGTCTGAAAGTGACATGAGAAAATGGTTTTTCTTTTAGAAAATATGATAGCATTATTTCTGTTGCATCTGTTATGTGTTAAGCGTCGTATATGTATAATAATTTTGACATGGAAGCATAAACATGATAAATAGAAGAGAATGCGATACGCCATCATGCCCTAACAGGAGAGTTTCCGGAGCTGGAGATCAATATGTGTCAAGGAATAATAAATAAATCTGTGATGCAATTTGTACGAGATTACGTGCTGTAAAATTGTCGGTCCGACGTAAAAACCATTCAAGTTAAAAAACAAATGATGCTTGGTCAGTTGGTCAGATTGTGGGAATATGGGTCGAACCTGGTCCTTCACAGTCTGCCTTCGTATTTTACAGTACTCTCTGTGTATTCTCTATTTAAGTGAGATTATTGCGTTATTTTACTTCATTTTTCTAAGGTTTTCTTTGCTTGCTATCAAATTTACTTTCGAAACATTGCATACGTATCTTTATATATTCTCAAAAATGATCGCATCTTTATTATATCGATGAATAAAGCCCTTGTCAATTATTGGTAATCGCAAGTCCTAGGTTGTGACTCGGGACATTTTTGTTATTGATATTTAGTAAACCCATACAAATAGATATAAAATCGAAGTAGTTTAAATAAAGATTATGCAGGGTTTATTTAGAGATTGTTGATTTGCATTGAGAATCAGCATAAGAAGCTGTGATGTTTGTAGAGTTTGAATACGAAACGGTTTGGAATTAGGCAGATATTTAATTCAAGTGAGAGGCTATGTTTGGAATGTTTAATAAACTTAAATAGGAAAAATTGTTACGACAATGATTATTTTACATTCAAGTTTTAGGTCGGCACTTGCTAACTTCATTGAAAATCCATGTTAGAAAGATTAGCGTTTAAATATTTGTGACCAATGGCATCTGGGGTAGGGACATAAATATTTCAGACATCAAGCAGAGGCCAGAATATTTTATTGCTATGAGTATGAGACACGGGATAGAAACTAGAGAAACCGCTACAAAAGGTAGTAAAGGAAAATGAGTTAAATGGTCTAAACATCAATTGTATTGAAGAAAACGTATGGTTATATACTAAAGAAGACTCCAAGATTATAACTATGCATTGGAGATGCCAAAATGAAGTAAGTACGAGGATTTAACAATGTGGGGGATGTTATAACTGTGGAAAATGTGATACCGAAATCCGAAGGCGTATACGAATAGTGAAAGTAGCCTTCACATATCTAAGCGAAGGATTAGGAAAAGGGATAATGTACTTAGCATAAAAAGAAAAGTGTTTCACTGTTATGTAATACCGGTTCTCCTATATGGGAGCAAATGCAGTAAAATCTCATTACAGATGAGAATTGAATCAACACAAATGTAGGGATATAGTAGCATACATCGAATACCACAGACGGAATATGTGAGAAATGAGGATGTTTTAAGGAAAATGGAAACAAAAGAAAAAGGAAAAAAGAAATGGTTGGAATTTATAAGACAGAGAATGAGGAAATGAGCGCTTGGAAAATCTGACATCCGTAGGACATCGGGAATGCAGGAAAAACGGGTTAAAACCGCGTGTAACGTACGTAACGAGCTTGTGCAAATAGATAGCATCACATTAACTGGGAAGATGGTTAAAGAACTACATAGAATCAGTTGTAGAGATCATTCATCTGAAGTAACACAGTAAATACTAGAAGATCTGTGAGAGATTTTCTTTACCATTTGGGAAGGGGATAGGCAAAAAACTTTAGGTAGAATTAGAAGAAAACACCCTAACACTTTTTTGTTGAAAGCGGATGTCCTATTTAATGTGTTTGATTATGATATTTGATAGTTTACATAGTTTTACTCAGCAAGAATTGTAACTGCGTTTTGGTGGGATTTATTTCACTGGATGCACGGTTTTAATTCAAAGCTGTCAGTGAGTGTAATTAAGAAATACATGTGAAAACATGTTTTTATTTAACTACATAAGCTGGAGCGTGACTTTCAACAAAATGGGAATATTGGTATTAGAATTTCTTTCGCGTATCCTATAGTGAATCATGAAATCAGGAATAGAGAACTATAAATAAGAATATACATATGAAATTGAATGAAGAAAAATATATACGGAAAAAACAAACAAAAATCCTAATATACAATTATGCTGTTTTAATCTTAATATGTCAACGTCGGACGTTTCGGTCTAATAAACCATCTTCAGGACATATTCATAAATTATATCATTACAACATGACAAAGACGATGTACATAAGAACAAGACTTATCCAAACAGGTAACTGAAAGTTTTATAAGATCAGCGCTCCGTTTAAAATGAAATTGAATGCAATTTTTCAGTATATTTAGTTTATGCTTCGACATATACACTTCTATAAAGTGAATCTCTATAATAGTAAACAGATGTGGAACTGGTGTTTTACGAAGCATCTCTGTTTTAAAACAATACGACAAGATACTCTTTTGTAGGAGACTTCTCAAATCGTTATACATACACATAAAACAATCAATATGTAAAGTATTTCAGCAAGATTGAGTTTAAATCTTGGAATTACAATTTATTTGTAATAATAGTATTGCAGTAAATGTGGTAATATTAAACTATTGTTAAAGGAAAACCAAAAAAAGGGAACAGAATTAAAATTGCCATAAAGCGTTGAACATTAAAAAAAATGTAATGGTTATTTTCCTTACACATATTTGTCTGAAATACAAAGAATATCCAAAAGCCTCTCCCTCTGCTTATAGATGGAGTGCAGTAGATATTTGTTCTACGAACTCTGATCAAACAGTATTGGGACTGACACTATGGTAACGGAGCAAAAGTGCGCAGCCGAAATTTGAGCTCGAAGCCTCTTGCGCATACACACTAACTTATAACCTTGCTCACTTCAGTCGTTTATACCAGTTCTTGGAAGGAATGTCTTTAGAGTGTGGTAGTCTCACCACACCACAGAGGTTTCATCAGGGACTATGGCTTGTGAAAGAGGTTTTGGCAAAGCTCAACATTCCCCCAGGTTTGACAGCCAACATGATCCCCAGATCTCGCCTCTTGCGATTTTTTTTTGAAAAATCAAATCCAATTTGAAAGGAACAAAATGTCAAGACATTGGGGAAATCCAAGAGAACATGAAGAGACAGCTGCTCGCTATCCCCAAAAAGGAGTTCTAGGAACGCTTCTATCAATGAAAACGATGCTGGATAATGTGTGGGGTATCAAAATGTTGACTACTTCGAAGGCAATTAAATGCTGAAGTGATATGCTTTGAAGTTTTCTTTTTATAACACTAGTCTCGATACTTTTGATGAGACATCGTATATCGTCTCTAAAATTTTCTAATGAAATAGAGAAAATGTATTTGGTATTGGACTGGGTATATTTAATGAATAACGGCTTGGATTGAGGAATCGGACAGCCGAGTTCTAATTCCAGTCGAATCCATTACATTCACTTACGTGCTAATACCCTTGGGAAAGGTGTTAATCCTCTTCTTCTCGCTCCAGCTATGGGCAAATAGCAAGACAGACTGGGTTCTATAGTCTTGGATGTCAACTGGACTAGGAGAAGGACAACTCTGAATTCATCTCCTGCGGTGGAACGTTTGGGTACCTTGTGGCACGCAGTGCACCAGGTCTCTGCATTCGGCCCTTAAAAAAGTGTGGATGGTTTGTCCTCTTTACGAAAAAATCCAAAATCCTCATGAAAATGTTTCGTCTGCTATACTTAAATCTGAACACGTTTGGCGATCAATCCGCCGTCAATAGATCGATTAACACGCCAGAAACACAAGACCCCGTGGTTAAGAAATGCTTGTATACAACATTTTATTCTATAAGTAAGTAATATTTGTTTCAAATCAGATCAACTTAACATTGAATTTGTCAGATTTCCTCAAATAATATTTCAGAAATACATATTTTATTTACTGCTGCAAGATTTTTAAAACAGATAAGTTTTGTTTGCAAATATCTAAAAAAATATATGCCTGATGTTATCGATTTTAATGAAAGAAATGCAATTCTGTTCTAATCAATATACTTTCTGTCTGAAATACAGCAAAGTATTTTGCTTACCGGATATAGTAAATTTAATACTTTAGCTTTCATTTAAAGCTAAATTTAAAGCTTCAGGATTGCCATATCATTTTTTAAAAAAAATACTTTTAAGTACAATTAGTGGAGGTATCTAATTAAATGAATAAGAATAAAAGTAAGAGTTGATTATAGAATAAGTATTTTATTGCAGCTTTCTTCAAACAAATAAATTTTAATGTTGAAATCAACTTCAATGTTTTATACCCTGAACCGTCAGTGTCCCAACGAGTCACATTTAGTCTAGTATAGGGCTAAATGTCCCAAACTAATGTCAAACATTATGTTCCGTTTTATTAATTAAAATACTTCAATAGGATGGATACATTGTTGTTTAAATTGCGCAAAAATTAAAATAACACTGACATCTCATTTTAAGAGATATATTTACCAAAACTACACAAAAATATCTTGACATACGAAAGTCTGTTCTATAAAAAAACTATTGTCTTCAAACACGGCTTCCAGACGACTTTAAAATCTCCTGCAACTCTTTTGAGGCGGACTCCCTGATTATATTGGTGAATGATGCCATAACACTTGCATTCATTTCATTTTTGATGTTACAAAGAGTTTTGTTGGCCTCTCGCTCAACTGTGTCCCACACATAATAATCAAGAGGATTTCAGTCTTTGGTGTTAGATGGCCAGATGCAAGGAATGATGTCGCAGGAATTGTCTGACAGCCATGGTTGGGATCTCCTGCT